TTAGGTTTACTTGGTCATCAACAGTTATACAAGTTTGATTTGCTTATGTTTTAAACAGTTTTCTTTCCTGGCTGGTGAGCACTAAACAGAGAACTAGCCAGCTTTGCCAGTAAATACTGCAGACAATGAAAATATTCTTTTGGAGGAAATGGCAATACTAGAAATCTTAGCTGAAATGTTCAGTGTTTCAAAAATGTAATGTTTTGTATTATGCTGTCACGTACTATAATTTATTTCAGTGTATGAAAATAGCTTTGAATTAGCAATATGTACACACTTATGTTTGTGTAATTTGTAAAAATGTCTAAAAAAATGTTTAGTTTCTATTAAGCCACTCATCCAAAACATCTATATATTCCATTTTAGTTAGTATTTAAAAAAAAAAAATTCTCACCTGTATATAAATCACACGCTTGTATACTGCTTGGCTGTTTTGCTTGATCTATTTAATTTGCTAACAATCTTCATAGTTTAAGTTCTTCAGGACAGGAATTGTCTCTCTCTCTCTCTCTCTGTCCTTTCTCCCCTTCTGTCAGTAGAGTAGCTAATTAAATGGTTCTAATAATGTCTGAAGTGCTGAGATTTACTGCAATAAAACATATTCAGAAGACCAGCAGGGCTCTATAGTTATTTTTTTGAACATTTTCTTATACCTTAAAATATTTCTTTTTTTGTTTTTAAACAAGTAACTGAATTTTAAGCATTTTAGATAACAAGCCTGTCCAAGTAAGCCTTAGCACACAGTAATGGTGTAGTTGTATATAAAAAGATATGAATATGGGAACACTTTTTGTATTTTATTGACTACCAGCTGCTAAAATTTCAAGGACCTTCAGCTTTGTTCTTCTGGAGTGGATTGTTAGATACAGTCTGTACATAAATCTAGTCTAAAACTGTTATTTTTATTAATTTTTTTTATGCTGTTTTGAAAAAGTAGAGCAAGAGTTAGGTAGTCTTTTTGAAGTTGAAGGTACAGTTTAGCTAATGTGTTTGGGATGTTGCTTGCCAATGGTAAAACTTATTATCAAAGTAAACTACTTGACTCATCCTGGTATGTATTTTAAAACAGGTGAGGCTAATGATAAGGATGTTCAGGTGGTGGAACTTCCCATTGTTGACAGCTTACACCCACGGCCACCATATTTACCGTTGGCTATCCCCGAAGATCTGGCCGATAGGCTAATTCGTGTACATGGGGATCCTGCAGTGTGGTGGGTCTCGCAGTTTGTGAAATACTTGATTCGTCCACAGCCCTGGTTAGAAAAAGAAATAGAGGAAGCCACAAGGAAACTTGGTTTCAAACATCCAGTGATCGGGTGGGTATTTAGTTTTCTTTTTAACTGTCTGTGCTTTAATATATGTATATAGTGATTCCTGTTCTGGACAAGTTGCTTTATGATGGTTATCCAAGAGCCTCAAGCATTCTGTGGGGAGAGAGGGTGCTTTCTAGATGAAGCTATTATTTTTTTAACTGTGCATAATAGAAACTGATTACAAGTACTTCTTCAGCATACTTGCCTACCTGTAGTTGGACAGCTATATAAAAGGCGTCTCAATAGAAGTGTTTTTTATATGTCCTTCCATATTTAGTAATGTAACACAGAATTTCATTCATGTAATTGCCTTACAGCTTGTATTCCAGACACTTTTCTGTCTGGGTCTTCTTTTCAAGTGCCTATAGCCTTTACATTTGAGGAAAAAAAGACTAAGCCTACATTTTACATGCCACAATCCACAACTAATTTTATTGTTGGCTGCACCTGAACATGGTATGTGCCTTCCTGCTGATGTTTTCACTTTTGTTGTTTCTTAGCAGTAACTATGAATTGGAAAGGTCTGTATGGGGAGATATGGGGAAAACGAAGGAGAGCACCTATGGGCGATAAAGAGCAGCTTGTGGAAGAAAGGTTTTACTGTCATGTAATGTGAAAAATGTTGCTGCTGCTGTACTAGAGTCTGCAAATACTGCTTCCTTTGCCAGAATTTTCCTTCAATCCTTAATGTTCCTTTTTGTAGGAGTACACAATAAGTCTGTCCAAATGTTAGTTGGCTTTTGACCATTACATTGGTAGGCCACTTCACCACTGGCGGATCTGAAGACTTGTTAGGTTTCAAGCAGATGGGGAAGATGCTTTTTTTTTTTTTAACTACATTCTTTCAAACCTTGCATTGTAGTTGATGTCTCAATATATCCATGATGCAAATATTCCTATTTTGTTTTTGAACTGTATTGGTCAAGCATTACCTAACTACACAGATAACTTAACCTTCTGCACAAAAGGAATGCCTTGTATGCTATAATTAAATCTCCTTTATTCTTTTCTTTTACTTGCCCTTTGCCTTCCTTGGAAGATTATTATATTGCTTTCAAGAGCAGACTGACGGCTAACTTCATGTTGTCAGTGTGTCTTGATGGACATCCATGAGTTTTTTTAATCTTTCTTTGATTTATGTAGGGATTCAATTTAATATGTGTTCTAAAAGCACAGGCATGAAATTTAAAGTTAAAATTTCAGTTGCTAAAGTATGTATTTTATTTATAAATTGAATTCCTAGTTTCTGCCTTTTTTTAGTGTTCACGTCCGAAGGACAGACAAAGTAGGAACAGAGGCAGCATTTCATCCTATTGAAGAATATATGGTACATGTT